GCAGCAACAGCAAAATCTAGCCGACAATAACCACAATCTATGTATATTTAGACCTTATATATGATACCTACTGCTGTGTATCGCAGGTAACACAATAACCGCTGATAACGGCACCGAGACAACGATCGTCGCGACGATACCGATAAATTATCGCGTGTAACATTATTGCGCGCGCCATTTTTTATTAAAAAAAAATTTTAACTAAATTAGACTGAAAAACTTGTTCCGAAGTAAGTTGAGTGCGGCCATAAAACAGTTTTATGTAACGCGAAAAATAGGTTGCTCGCACGGGAAACACACATTTTACCTCGCAACTTATTTCATTGTTAACGGTACATTTAACGTTCGTTAATGAGTTGAGAACGTGCGCTAATGACAAGTAAAATAATGGAGGCTATAGAAAAGTTTTAATACATTACGAGTGATTTACTCGTAGATTCGTTTCTACGGTGAGTTGGCGCATCTTTTCATGTACCTTCAGTTGAGCGTAATTTTGTACGGTATTAAAAAATTATTTCAACAGACTATTTGCTGTGAATTATCTACTAAAATAATCAACAGTTTTCATAAGCAATTTATGAATTACTTAAATATCAATTTATCCTATAGCTTTTTTACTTTCGTCGTATCGTCATCATGCGTGACGTCAAATTCTCGGACCTCGAAGTGCTGGTTGCCTTCATGTACAAGGGAGAGATCAATATTGATCACGTGAGTATTAATACATCTCCCGCGAGTGATTTCTCTTCGCGGCTGATTTTCGTATCGTTACCGATTCCGCGAGCGCAACTCGCTGCGGAAATTTATTCCGGGGAGAAAATTGGGTGGGAAGATGTCATTTCTCAGATTAATGGAAATCTGAAAAGTGAGAGAGGCAAGAGAGGGGAAAATATAAGAGAGTGAAAGAGAAAATAGAAAAGAGCGCGGAAACGGAGGTCTGATTAGAGTGTGGGGGAGAAGTTTAGTTGGATTGTTCTGATGAAAGGCAAGACCTTTCCTGAACGGGAGGAGGAGTCCGGCGCGGGGAAGGGCGACTCATTAAAAAGTTTTTCTCCAAAGGTACTAATCCTTTTGGGGTGAACTTGGGAGTCATCAAATTATCAGCCCCGAGTTCCGCGATTACGGGTGATGGTAAATGAGGAGATCATTTCGAAACTTTCGCCATCGCGAATGCCTCCGCTACTCGCGCGCAGCTTTCAACCGCGTCTTTCTGCCGCGACACGCCGAGCTGTTATTGATCGTCGCTTTAGCATGTTATTAACTCCCAAAGTAATGCCGGGATTACGATGAACTTAACGTAACGGGACGCGACGGGACGTTACGTAACGTAAAACCTAAACACATTGTTTTTATATGTGGCTGATTACGATCGACGTGACGTGAAGTGTCAGAACTTAACGCAACGTGAAAACTGCCAATGTCAAGCTTCACGTCGCGTTGCGTCTAGTCGGGCTGTTCACGTGACTCTTTCAGCCAATCAACGCTCTCGATTCTTGTGCGCGTTGCACTCGAATTCAAGAGTGACATTTCAAGGTTACATCCGTCACCAAACTGGATTCTTCTCCGAAAAATCTCTCTCACACCAACGGTTCGTATTCGTTTCCTCTTCCGCACTTGAGGATACAAATATCCGGCCAAAATTACATTACAAAATTGATAATGCCTCACAGCAGAATTCATTTTGAATTACCAATGCTGTCAAATCAACGCTGTCAATGCACGCTGTTTTACGACACGTTACGGCGATCGTAATTTCACAAAATACCTTAACGTTAAGTTCACTTCACGTCACTTCACGTCCCGTCGCGTCCCGTTACGTTAAGTTCATCGTAATCCCGGCATAACATCGGCAAAACGTTCGTACTCTTGAGCGTCCGCCAATGGGCGCTAGCATTGCCGGTTGTTAACGGAGAAGAAAAGGAGGGAAAAGAAGCGCGAGAGAAGACGCGCTCCGTACCGCGTCGCTGCAATTTATCATTTTCATTATTATAATAAAATCTTACGTCCATCTAACGAAGATCTTTATCGAATTCCGCGTACTTATCACCCTGGTATTTAAACGTGGGTTGCCCGTTCTCTTAACATATGTATAAATTAAATCTCATTAATATTACTATCTCTTTTATTTCTTCCGGTAAAATCTTGTGTTCGATTTTTCGGATATAACATTTTAATATCCAAAATAATGAAGTGTCTAATTTGTATGAATTCCATTTTAATTGGCGCAATTTGTTGATATTATTATTTTTCTTTTAAAATCTTACGCCAATCCAAGTAAAGTCTTTATCGAACTCCGCGCGCTCATCACCCCGGTATTTAATCGTGAGTTGCCTGTTCTCGTAACATATAAATTAAATTTAATTAACTCCGTTTATATATACTTGAAGTATTTAGATTTACCGAGACTATTAATTTTATCGTTTAACGATGTCTGCGAATGCGATCTGCCTTCCTTACCTAAGGAATTCTATTATTATTGTTACAGTAATATCACTATATTAATATTAGGTGTAGGAGGAAGTTCCCGCGTATTTTTTTCAAGAAAAATGCATTAATTTCAATACGAAGGCATATAACAATGTTAATCAAAGTATTGTCCATCATTTGCCACTACTTTCTCCCATCTTTCTGGCAGCATTCGAATTCCGCGTCGAAAGAACTCTTGGTCTTTTGATGCAATCCATGCGTCCACCCAATTTTTGGTATCTTCGTAAGACTGAAAGTGCTGCTCAGTCAGGCCATGCGCCATTGATCGGAAGAGGTAGTAGTCCGAAGGAGCAATGTCTGGGCTATACGGCGGGTGGGGTAGGATTTCCCATTTGAGGGTTTCCAAGTACCTTTTGACCGGCTGAGCAACGTGCAAATATTTTCGAAAGTAGATATTACGAAAGAAATTGTTCATGCAAATATTTCGCAATTATAGGAAGAAAATATAATGGTTGCAATAATTTTTTGAATTTCCAATACTACGAAAAAAGTTTGAGAATTTTTAAAAAACTCATTTTCTTGAAGATATTAATTAAGCCCCGAATTAAGTATATAGATAAAAATTACTGTAGAATTGATACATTATTGTACGAATAAAGAATAATACATATAAGTTATCGAATTTTATCCAAACATCTGCGATGTAATATGTTTTGATTTTATGTAAATTTGATAACGCCTATAATGCTTATTTTATTTACAACGTTTTACAACACCTTATACTGTAATGCTTGATGTAGAGATATCATAAAACTGTTATTCCATAATATGCGCTTTTGGAAAATTATATCCTTCAGTATGCATATTAGCACGTTGTGAGGACCTTTATTCAGTCGGTAATATACTCGTATTAGAGCTAGATTGAATATAGAATTTTCTTCAAATTCAATGCTTATCCCATACAACATAAGTCTTGTTAAAACTTTCCTCGGACTTAACATAATGAACACCAAGAGGATTCGAGAGTTTCGTAATGCAATCTCTTCATTCATTTCGGCATTATTCTCAGTGACTCTATCAAAAAATTGGACGAAATGTACTTCTTTATAGAAACATAAAGGGTTGTCGTCAAAGTGCCGCTTTACATAACTTCGTATAGCAAAATTCATGTCTGACAGTGTTAGCTGCATCAATATTTCTATCACCAACGCGTAGTGCATATACCTTTGTACTCTAGTATGCGGATATGTGAATATATAATAAAGATGTTCGAGTAAAAAGTGCAACTCGCCGTGCATTATCGTGTTGAAGGATTACTTTATCATGTCTCTCGGCATATAGCGGCATATAGTTTTTCCTTCAGTGCTCGGCTCAAACGCATCAGTTGTGTTCAATAGCGATCGCCAGTGATGGTTTCTGACGGTTTAAGCAACTCATAGTACACGACACCCAGTTGGTCCCACCAGATACAGAGGAGAAGCTTCGAACCATGAATATTCGGCTTTGGTGTTGAAGTTGATGGTTCACCGGGCTTTCCCCTCGTCCTTCTGCGCTTGGGATTGTCGTAACGGATCCATTTCTCATCGCCCGTGATGATACGATGGAGAAAACTCTTCCTTTTCTGCCGTTGAAGTAGCTGTTCGCACATACAGAAACGTCTCTCCACGTCTCTCGGCTTCAATGCGTACGGTACCCAAGTTCCGTGCTTCTGAATCATTCCAAGGGCTTTCAATCGGTTCGAAATGCTTTTTTGATCAACATTCAATGATTCCGCGAGTTCTGCTTGCGTTTGGCACGAGTTTTCATTGAGTAATGCCTCCAATTCTTGATCTTGAAACTTTTCCGGTCGACCAGAACGTTCCTTGTCACTCGTGTCGACATCACCACTTTTAAACCGTGCAAACCATTCTTGACACGTTCTAATCGATGGAGAATAGTCACCATAAGCATCCAACAGCAAACGATGGCTTTCGGAAGCAGTTTTCTTTAATTTTAAGAAGTAAAGTAGAACTTCCCGCAAATGACGCTTTGTTGGTACAAAATCGGACATGTTTAGCGACCGAAAAAACTGTTGTGTTTACACTTGAACCAAACGACTCATTATGAAAAGTGAAGCCTAATGACAGATCTTTAAAATGAATATGGCGGCAATATGCCCCGACACACACAACGCTAGCAACGCCATCCATTAGAAATACGCGGAAACTTTCTCCTACACCTAATAGAATTCCCATTCTCTGAATGTTCTTGTTTGAAATTTAGCGTCAGCGCGCAGTGACAGATGTTCCGCGTTGAATCACCGTTATTGATATTTACTTTCGACGAGTCCGGGGATAGTCATCGTTATTTCGCCTGCCTGCATCGCCATAATTCGCTCGGCGAACATGTCGTCGCAAAATGTCATCTATAAATATCCCGCGTATTTCGTACGCGTTCGGTAAAATATTCGGTAAATATTCGCTTCACGCAGTAAAATATCCTAGCCGGCACGTGGACTGGCGAGTAGTCCTTACAAGAGGGAACTTTTACGAAAGACCGAGTTAATTAAAACTTCCGTCCCCGGGACGAGGGTCGAACTTTAAGGCGGGATAATTAATTTATATGTGTAACGTGCCGCTGACATTGCGCTGATATTCATTAGCGCATAGCGCGCGACGATACCGCTCCGCTGATGGTTTCCTCGCGTCCGTGACACACGCGCGATTTACGAGGAGCGTGTCAAGCGCGCTCGGGGGTGGCCGTGTTCTTGCGCGCTCGTAAATCTATTTCGCGTCTTCTTTTCCGGACCCGGGACGCGTCTCGTCGCATTCCGTCCAACGTCGAGAGTCGTCGCCTCCGAAAATGCATACCGGGCACCGCCTGGTCCGTGCGCGCGCGCGCGCGCTCGGCGGTGAGAATCCCGCGAATTATTCTATCATAAAACAGGATACCGGCGATGCCAGCTGTACATACCGCAAAGGCCGCTTGCGTGCAGACGCCGCTGTATTCGAAATACGATCGTAAGAGTGCCTCGCAGAGGCAGCATCGGAGGTTGGTCGATATCTCTCTCGCGTACAGTCCGCACAGGAAGCCAGGCCAGAGGCCAGGCCAGGAAGTAGTACACCATCCCCCGCAAGTGAAAATTCCCCTCGTCTCGCCCCTTCGCAACCTGTCCATCATTTCCCGCGGCACTTGCAGCTCACCTCGCGCAACCTCACGCGAGGATCATCAGTGATGCTGTACTTTATTCATGTCTTACTCTCTAAAAGTCAATCACTGGATTATCGCAGAAAACAGGGGATAGTCACTGATTTACAGTTGTACGTGTACCACTGCAATTTTCAGTACACCTAGAAAAAAGTCTGTTTGAATTGTGACCTCACTAGATTTTTATTTAATCTCAAACAAATGATTTCTTTACCGTAACCAAAATTTTATTTGACCGAGGCTGGACTTTTTAAGAGAATTCACGTCTATTTCTTCAAATAGCGAATGTTTTAGTGGAAGTAAATAAAAATTTAGTAGATTCAAAAAACCTGATTTCTACGTATCTCATTTGTTTAACTTAACTAAATCTTTTTTTCTGGGTGTAGTGTACTTGTGACTGCAAATCAAACGGTGACTATTCGCTGTTTTCGGTGATAATTCACCGATCGACCTTTAAAGAGTAGAGTCACGAAGTAACAACGAGGAGCGCGCGATGGAATTTGAAATAACAAAATTAACTAATAGGAACGAGATAAGGTTTTAGTAGCCTTCCACGACGCACTGTTTGCTCGAATCTATCTCAATGTTTCCGCATTTACGTTGAAACTTTTGCATTTGCTTGCTACTTATTCCAGTCGCGGAATACCGTCGTGTCTTTATCATTCAATATCTTGAGATATTCAGATACGACTGTTATTCGAGCGAGAGTAAATACATTATCGTTGTGTTCCGTGCACCCCGATACTCCCGAAATTCTCGATAAAAGCCGCTCCAGCAGCCATGTCGGAACAAA